CTCGGCAATCCAATATTTTTGCATTCGGAAAAAAACACGAAATCGTTACATCAATCCGCGTGGGGTACGCAGCTTCATGAAAAAAAACCAGGAGGCTTCCTGGGGAGCTTCTTGGGGCCTCCTGGCATCCCGGAACCGCCTCGGGGCGTCCTGTGGCTTGGGCCTCCCGGGGGGGAGAAGGAGGAGGAGGAGGAGGAGGAGGAGGAGGAGGAGGAGGAGGAGGACGAGGAGGAGGAGGAGGAGGAGGAGGAGGAGGAGGGCGAGGAGGATGATGATGATGATGATGATGATGACAAGCCCTGAGGTCAGGGTTCGGCCGCCTGGCCGGCCTCCTCAGACGAGGAGCACGTACTGGCCGACGGGCCTCACGACCTCTGCGCCAGCGCGACGAGCTGCTTGAAAGCCGCAGCCCTGGCTACCGCGCCGTCCCTCGACTCCTCGGAGTCGGCACTGGCCCGCTCCGCCCGCGGCGACGCAGCAGCAGTGGCAGCTTCGACGCCGTGCTCGAGGCCGCCGAGGGAGGCGCGGCGGCCGCCGTCCAGCGCGGCCACGCGGCCGCCGAGGCCGCCACCTTGCCCACGTCCTTGCCCTCGTACGCTCGGTGCGGCCCGAGGATCCCAGGGCCCTGGCCAACCGCCGAGGGCGGGGACTCTTTCCCAGGCAGGCCCGTGGCGCAGAGGGGGGTACGTGGCACACGGCCTGCACACCGCCCCCGCTGCTGCTGCCTCGGCGCCGCGCCCGCTGCCCTCGAGCTCGGCCGAGGCAATGGCGCCGTCGCGCTCGTCCAGGCTGGGTGCGACTGCGCCAGGGGCCTGCTGGCCACGCGCGCCAGCCGCCGCCAGGAGGCGGGCGACGCGCTCGGCGAAACCCAGCGGGCCCAGTGCCGTCGCGGCGCGGCCGTCCCGCGCGCCCGACACGCCACCGGCCGCGGCCGAGCCGCTCGCCACCCCCGCAGCAGCCTCCTCGGCGTCGTGCGCGGTGTCGTCCAGCGCGCCCACGGGGTCGACGTCCAGCGCGTCCGAGCCGTCGGCGCCCGCCGAAAGGCAGTCCGCCGCCCCCGCAGCTGCAGCCTCCGCGTCGTGCTCCGCGTCGCCCAGCGCGCCCTTGGTATCGACGCCCAGCGCGTCCGAGCCGTCGACGACCGCCAGCGATCTGCCCGCCTCTCCAGCATCAGCCGCCTCAGCGCCGAAGCCCAGCGCGCCCAGGAGGCCGTCGTCCAGCGTGCCCGAGCTGCCGAGGCCCATCGCTAGGCCGAGCGCCTCCGCAGCAGCTGCAGCCTCGGCGTCGTGCTCGTCGTCGCCCAGCGCGCCCTCGACCGCGACGTCCAGCGCGGCTGAGCCGTCGAAGGAGTCCTTCTCCAGGCCGAGCGCCTCCGAGGCTGCTATCTCCTGAGTGTCGTGCTCGTCGTCGCCCAGCGCGCCCACGCACTGTGCGTCCAGCGCGCCCGAGCCGTCGAAAGCCGCCGCCGAGCCGCGCATCGCCCCCGCGCCAGCAGCCCCAGCAGCGGCATACTCCGCGACGTGCGCCACGCTGTCCGCCGCGGCCGAGGAGATTACGCACTGCGTGGTCTTGCGGCGCGGTCCCGTGCTGGCGGCGGCACTGGGCTTCCCAGCAGCAGCAGCTCCTTGGGCTCCCCTGAGTCGTGCCCCAGCACGCCTATCCCTTCGAGCTCCGCGAACTTCCGCCTGCTGGAAATCTCCTCTGGCCGTCGCGTGTCCGAACATGGTCTTCCTCCCTTCCTGCTCGTCACACCAGGACTGTGCCCTTTCACGCACTCGTTGGTGAAGTGCAGCCATTCTGCTCTCAAAACCTGCCTCAGGCACTGCCCCGTCCGTGCCACTGAGGATGTCAACCTTCGTGAAAGTGGTGTGAACCTCGCTTGTCGCCTCCAGCCGTCGAAGAGGGGTGGCGCTGTCGATGAACTTCTTCAGCTTCTTGAAGGGACCGAAGCCACGCCTCAGGTTGTGGAGGACCTCGAGGCCCTTGGTAGTGGCGACTGCGAAGGGCTGTCGCAACTTGGCCTTGCGCCGCTGCAGCGCCCAAGCCCCACACTTGACACAGATGAACACTGGCCTGTAGGTGTCCTGCCCGTCGCTCTCCAAGGTGCCCTTCTGGTTGACCGCGACCAGCTTGTGGCCATTGGGGTTGCGCCGATGGTCCAGCAGGAAAGCGGGCGTCCCAGGGCGCCCCGTGAGGGGGAGCGGTTGCCCAGGCATGTGCAACTGTAAGCAGGTGATGCATTGCGCGCCCAGCTCGCCATCTTGCCATTGGTGCCATGTTGCCTTCCTTGTGCTCGCTGCTCGCCGCCAGGTCGGTGCCCTCCTGGTCCACCTGATTTGGTCGTCCTTGTCGAAGATGGGCATGACGTGGGCGATAAGCTTCGCTAACTGGGAAATTCTGTCTACGCCCTTCTGCATCTCCTCGACTACGTGCAGCTCGGGGGCGGGGTGGATCGCCGCTGCCTCCTTGGCCCTGAGGTCCGCTACAATGTTCGCGTCCGTTATCCTCCTCTGGCTGTCGGAGAGCGCTGCGTACTCGTCCCCAGAGCGGTGCGCTTTGACGTGGGCGTACTGCTGCGCGTGCGCGAAGCCGTTGAGCGACTGCGCGAAGTGGGCGATGCACGCATAGGGGGTCCTGGCCTTCAGCTGCAGCTCTTTCTGCTTGTTGCCCAGATGGATGACGCCCTTGAAGTCGGCGTGGACGGTGCATGGTCGGTCTGCAACCTGAGACACGAAAGCTGCCGCTAGATGCTCTCCGACGGCAGACTCTTGGGGTAAGGATGCGGGTACTGCTCCGTGCATGGTCGCCAGCGGCATGTCTGAGCGGGGGTCCAGCAGGGCGATGCTCCATCCTGCTCGCTGGAATTCCTTGATGGGCGGCTTGGTGCACGATCCGTCAGTAGCGACCTCCATACTAGCATCGTCATCCCTGAGGAAACAGGCTGCCAACTGCTCAGGCTCCTGACATACTTCATCTGGTACTGGGACTCCTTGGCCGTCAAGTATGACGCTGGTAGTGCCCAAACTCATTGTCGGAACATCAGCACACGCATATCCAAACATACCCTCAATAAAACCAGGCTCATCTGCATGCATGCGTAGCCCGTCGAGGAAATGTTGTGGGACCTCTGCATCAGCTCGAGCTTGCTGAACTTCAGGTCTTGTGCAATCAAGAAGTCGGTGCACCAGCGAGTCGGGAGCTCCACAGGGACACCTACCATCTGTGTTGTATCCACGCTGTTGGGCTCTCATCCTTGTCCAGACTCCACTGCACGCTGCATTCATGATGCAGAACTTCTGGTGCGCCGTGTACCGTTTGCTGCGCATGGAGACCAGGGGGGCTAGGATGTCGAAAGTGGCACGCTTGCCCTCACCAAGGCCAATCTTGCCCGCTAGGTCTCGCTCATGCTGACATTGAACGCCTTGCTGCAACATCTGGAGCATTAAGCTTGGGGTGAGCTGCTCCACAAATACCTGATCCCCTCGATGGTTACGCCACCTCAGTGCCGAGGTTGCTGTCCAGCCTGCCCGCGCCAGCGAGAGGGCAGCTCGTTGGAGAGGCCCACGGGTAGCTCCCCACGAGCTGCATACCCCAGGTACTTCCACCGCTCTTCGCCACCACGTTGTAAGTAGTGCCAGAGGTACTGGTGCCTGAGTAGGTTGCGATACTGCCATCCAGACCATCCGCGACCACTGCAGCACTGGCGCCATCGCAATCGCCACTGTGGGGTCGCCCAGTAGCACCACCTTGGCCGAGGCCGAGACACCCCCATGACAGGGTTTGCGGAACTTGTCGAAGTCTGTTCGCAGCTTGTGGAGCTCCCCGTCGGTGAGGCCCGTGATCTCCACGCCGAAGGTGGCCGCAGGTCGAGCTCCAGCTCGGAATATCTTGGCCGTGCGCTGCGTCTGCTGTCCTGGTAGTCGATGTCTGAATCGCCCCAGCTTGCGCAGCCTCTGCTTGTAGATCTTGTGGCGTGCCTGCTGCTTGGCGCGGAGGAGCTTCCCTCGCCTCCTCCGTGCTCCCGCGAAGTCAGTGCCCAGGTATGTCGCCCGACTGCGATTCATGTCAGCAGGGAGTTGCAGCTGCCGCACCACTTCCTTCCCAATATCATTTGAGCTGGCCACCACAGCAAGCTTATCATTAATACGGGCGCCGAGCTTCTTAGCCACATTGAAAAAGGCATTGCCCGCCTCGACCGCCTGCAGGATGACACTCTCCTTGGTGGCTCCATTGATACCGAGGGAGGTGTCGTCAATGTAGGACGCGAACCTTACCAGCGGGTGGAGCGTGACGTAGATATCGTACTGCTCGATGGCGTGCGCCTTTATGACCACGTCTGCGTAGCCATCGCCTGCTGGGAGGCCGAACTTTGCATGCCGTGGCTGCGCGCCGTGATGCTGGTGGAGACGTATCAATCGTGGTCCTCTCCACTGGTTGTACACAATTTTTACCATCGCCAAGGGCATTCCAAGCCTCAGCAGCTTGTCCCTTGCTTCGTCCAGGGGAATCAGCTCGTAGTACTTGCTGTAGTCAGCAATGATGGTGACCGTGTGCCGCCCTGCCTCTGCATTCTGCTCCGCATCCGCTGCCAGGATCCAGGCACTGTCGACCGCGCTCCTGTTCTTGGCAGCCGCCCAATAGGGCCTTCGCAGGGCCTCTTGCAGAGGTAGGAGGGCAGGTTTACGTAGTCGTTGCCAGACTCTGTAGGCCATGGAGTATAGGATGATCAAAAGGTGGCCTCCAGCGGCCTTGGGCAGCATCGGCATCACCATCCACGTCAGCTGGGCAGGGAAGAGGCCCAGCGCCTCGCAGGCCAGCATGATGTCGCACAGGCCCTCCAACGCGTCATCGCTGAGGTGCTCTAAGTGCGTGGGGTGGAGGCCGTCCAGGCTGCTGGAGGTCTTGATGCTGAAGGTACGGGAGGCGCGCCGAAGTTCCTCTGGTGATGGCCGTGCGAGGGTAGACCTATCAGGAATCCACGCCTGGGGAGGCTCCTTGACCGCCTTCCACAGCGCTGCGTGCGTATCCTCCATATCCTTGACTACAAAGTGCGGGTGCCCTGTGATGCCGTTCTCCGAGTCGTTAACCGTGGTGGGGGCCTGAATTGCTTGCACACGAGTGACCTTGTGGAGCTTCCCCGCTCCGCCCGCACAGGCCCCGTCGCACCATTCTCTCCAGCGCCTCGAAGATTCCTTGTTCGCTAGCTGCATGGCAAAGTTAACATCCTCGTCGATCTCCTCCGAGAAGGTCATGATGTCCTCACTGCTGAAATTCCTCTGCACAATCTGCCGAGCATGCCGAACTGATGCGTCGAGCCTCGCGCTTAGGTTCTGCCCACAGTAGTCTACACTGAGGAAGCCTTGCAGCTCGTTGTCGAGAAACTGTCGGCCCTCGGGTGTCCTGGCGTTCGCCTTTGCGGTGATGAGGCCCGCCAGGCAGTCCTGCAGCCACTTCCATCCATCCGCGACCGCCTGTACCTCATCCTCCGTGAGGACCTGGTGCTCACGCTCGACCCACTTGGCTTGGAGCGGACGCGCGTAGGCGCTGGCTCGCGTCTCCGTACCAGTGAGGTGCCCGAGCCTCGAGGCTGCCCTGGTCGCCCATCTGCCCCAAGCCTTCGAGAGGAAACGCCAGGCGACTGCAGCAGGCGCCTCCTTGGCCATGCTCAGCGCCTGCTCAGCGAAGCTGCGCTCCAGGGACCAGCTGCTCTCCTCGAGGAAAGGCCCGTGCACAATCTGCGCTGGTATCTTCGCACCGCCTACGTAGGTGAGGTACCTGAGCTTGGTGCCCTCCGCTGTCAGTTGAAGCTGAACTGGTCGATGCGGCTTTACCGACCAGGTCAAGTCTGCGTTGCATGCAGCTAGCATGCGCATGGCTCCCGTGGTCAGCCCGAAGTAGTCGATGGTTGACAACGACGCCGCTGTCCTGCAGGTCGCGTGCCTCGGGGTGACCATCTCCAGCTGCGCGTGCACGGGGAAGCCGGAGTTCTTGACCACCTGCACGTCCATGTTCCAGTCACCGCCGATGATGCCAGGGTGCGCCTGGCCCGCAAGCGCGAGCCCCACCGTCATGAGTATACTTGCGTTGCGGCTGCTCATGCCCTCCCCTGTGTGGAGGTACACGTTGACGACGTTGAGCGGCGGCCAGTTCGGCAGCTCCACGACGACGTGTTGAGCCCTGCCTCGGACGAGCTCGGTGCCGTGCGCAATGGTCTCGTTGACGCTGCCTGCACGTCTGGGCGGGGCCTCGCCAGGGTAAGTGGGCCCGCGCAGCCCGATCCCCTCCCTGGCGAAGACTGCCAGGCCTGCGGAGGGGAGGTACCCTCGTGAGGGCAGCCCTGGCACGATGAGGCTTTGCCAGCCGCGCGCCGTCGCCCAAGAAGAGAGGCTCTCGCAGTCATCGATGCCGTATCCTATCTCCTGAGCCATGATGACCATTGCTGTTGACCTTCTCAGCCGCTTCTGGAGGGTTAGCTTTCCCTGGTTGGCGTTGAAGGTCTCGAAGGTGTGCGTGATGGTGACCGCTGCTGGTACGTGTAGCTGCTTGGCGCCCGCGCTGGCATCCAGTAGCCCGCTGACCAGGGGCGGGTTACCCAGGCATCGTGCCTGTGCCCAGGGAGCCTCCAGTAGTCCTGCGGTGCTTGCTGTGCTGGACCTGCGTGAAGGCGTCGTCCAGCTTCTCCTTGGTCCAGTCCGTAGGCTGCTGTCCGCTGCTGAGGAGCTGCTGCCAGAGGGCGCCGACGTCATCCTTGGCCAGCTCCACCCAGGCGGCTCCGCGCTTATCGCCTCCTCGAGGCTGTGCGTCGCCGTCGGCGTCTCCGTCGTCCATGTCATCGTCATCCCGAGCTGGCGGTCCGTCTGCTGCGCCTGCGCCACCGCCCTCAGCATGAGGAGCATGAACACCAGGTTCCTCAGCCATGACCGTAGCCAGCTTCTCCGCCGCCTGCTTGCGGAGGGCCGCCTGGATCTTGCCGAAGTGGGGGCTCGCCTTGAACTGCTCGAGGGCCTCCTTCGCGCCATCGTCGTCGAGCTGCTCGGCGAGGTCGAAGCCAACCAGGTCTTCCTCCTTGATGACTGGGTGGGGCTTCTCACCACGTGCAGCCTGCATGGTTTGCTCGTGCTTCGCATTCTCCTTGCGCAGGACCTCCACCTCAGCCTGTTTAGCCGCAGTGGCCTCCTGCTTATCCTGGATCTTGCGCTGGGTAGCCTCCAGCTGCGCCTCCAGGCCCTGCAGGTCGCTTGTGAAGCGGTCCAGCTGCTGCATGCACCGCGCGAGCTTCTGGGACGAGGCCTTGTAAGCAGCGCCTGGGGGGCGCAATTCACGCGCCTGCTGCCGAAGGACGTCGAGGGCCCGCTGGTGCAGGAGGTGAATTGGGCCGCCCTCTGCCTCCACGATCTTGCATTCCTTGAGGCTCTTCTCGTGGAAGTTGATCTTCGCCTGGAGCTCCGTGCGCTGCTGGATGTTGCCCTGCACGTGCTGCGCCTGCTCCTTGCAACCGGCGCCTGCTCCTGATGACGCTGGTGCCGTAGGCGATGGGGGCCCCTTGGTGCTGCCCGCGTGCTGGGAGATGCACTGCTGCACCAGCTCGCGGATCTTCTTCTCCGTGAGGCCGCTCTCCTTGGACCACGGGGCAGGCTTCCGCACGAGCCCTGTGCCTCCTGCTCTCTGCGAGGGCTTCTTGTTCCGCGCCTCCTGGTCCGCCTTCTTGGCAGCGTCGATGACCTTCTGAGAAGCCTGCCGCCCGCAGGAGCACACGATGCGGCAGGCCCAGTTGTTGTCCTTCCCACACTGGCATCCCCAGACAGGCTCTCGGGGGCCACGCAGCACTCTCGCCTGCGGCGGTGCAGGCGCCATCGCCCCTGCAGAGGAGCCGTGATGGGCGTCCAACCGCTGGGCCGCGCCGCGCAGCCTGGCTACCAGCGCAGGGGTCGTGCGCCCCGACCAGGCGTGGAGGAGGAACCTGTCCTCCCTGCGTTGTAGTCGCGCTCGATGATGGGCGGCAGCCTCCCGCGGAGCCGCCGTCGCGAGCGCTGGTCTCGGCGCGCGCCAGGAGCCTATCCCCTCGCCTGCCCCGCAGGCGCCCAAGGGGGAGGCAGCTCCTCGCGAGCCGAAAACTGGAGGGCGAGGAGGAGGAGGAGGAGGAGGAGGAGGAGGAGGACAAGGAGGAGGAGGAGGAGGAGGAGGAGGAGGAGGAGGAGGAGGAGGAGGAGAAGGAGGAGGAGCAGGATGCCCCCCCCCCCTTGGCCCGTCCGGGCCCGCCCCCGCAGCTGCTGCGCCAGCGCCGCGCCAGTGGCCGGTTGGGCGCCCAGGTGCCCGGCCGCCGCGGCGGGCAGGGCCGTCGCAGGCGCTCTGCCTCGCGTGCGGGGGTCTCCTCCTCCTCCTCGCCCTCCTCCTCCTCCTCCTCCTCCTCCTCCCTCCTCGCCCCTCCTCCTCTCCTCCTCCTCCTCCTCCTCCTCCTCCTCCTCCTCCTCGCCCTCCGACTCCTCCTCCTCCTCGCCCTTCTCCTCCTTCTCCTCGCCCTCCTCCTCCTCCTCCACCTTCTCCGCCTCCTCTTGCTGGCTCTTGCGAATCGAGGGGGGACGATGAGGGGGGTATGCGTAAATGAATATGGATTCATATGTAGGTATATGTGTGTGTACATCGTAGAAATACAAATATCTATATATGTAAATGAAGACATGCCGATTCTTACCCCTGCGTGGATATCAGGAAAACTGATGGACATCAATTCATGTAAATCTCAATCCGCACATTTCCCCACCTGACGTGCTCGGCATGCGGTACTGCATGGAGGGCCAGCGGGCCCTTCTCAAACATACTGTTGCAACTCTAGTATCGGGCACTCTGGTATCAGAAAACCTCGCAGGTGGATACCGGCGCCCTTGGAAATCTTCGCATGGAACTCAGCTGACGGAGCGCGCCAAATGTGGCGCCCTCAGACATGTTTCTGCCCCTCAGAATATCGTATCCTCCAAGCTGGGATGAATCTCCCTCCCCTCCCGAACCCACTCCCCCTCCACCCCCTCAAGTCATGTCTCGATAGGGGGTACAATGAGGGGGGATTGGCTCAGGGGGGCGAGACATGACCTGCAATCGACGGTACACCGCCAAATCGGCGATATGCGATCGGCCCCTGATGAAGAAACCCCACCCTTTCTAGATTGGCGAGAACTGTTCGGTGGCAATACATGAGAGCCTCCCATGCCATCTTGCCTGCTCATGCGAGTCGACGCTAGCCGACGCTAATCAATGCTGAATCGAAACTGATCCTCGCTAGTCGACGCTAGATCGACGCTAGCCGACGCAAAATCGGCGCTTGCCCATCAATGACGAAACGCTAGCTCGCGCTAAGGCGATGTGAAGATGGACTTGCGAGGGCGCACACGGCGCCTCTGAATTGCTTTGGCGGCGCGCACAAAGAGGACAGGAGGAGAGTGGAAGGCTTCTTAGAAGAAGGCTGCAAATTAGAAGGGGTGTTTTCCAAGACGCCTTCTACATCTATAGACAAGGCCCACGCCACCTGAGAAGCAGCGGCGCTTCTAAGAAACCTTCCCCCCTCCCCCTAACCCCCTGTTCGCTCTGCCCATCGGTGGTTCAAAGACGGGGTCCTGAGGGACGTTGTCCCAAGGACTGGGTGTCTCAAAAAAACTGAATCCACCCGTAGATCTGTTTCTATCCTCAGGCTCCCGTCCCTCGGGGCCCCCATTTGGGCACCTCTGACGCAAACATGTCTTAAGAACCGAAACAGTGTTCTTAGAACATAAGCCCGACGTGTTCAAGCAAGACAGTCCCGGCCAGAGATGTTCTGAGAGCAGCTCGTGGAACTCACAGAAGGCTCTCAGGACATTGCTTGGTGGGCCCACAGGCACGCCAGGACGCTTCGCCGCTGCTTGATTAGGGAGCCCACAAAGGACGTACGCGCCCAGCTATGTACATGAACACGGCCCCTCGATCTGCGAGACCGGCCGCGTGATACGAACTTTCGGGCAATGCGTACTCTCGAAACCAGCGTGGATTCATGTACGTGTACGTCCTCCGTTCGCTCCTGATTGATTCTTCCATCCTCCGGCCCCCGTCCCTCGGGGCCCCCATGTCTGCACCACTGACGGGCGGGGGGGGGGGGCGCGGGCTGCAGAGGCCGGCGGCCGGCGCGCGGCCCGGCCTCGCTCGGCTCCTCGGCGGGAGGAGGCCCAGGCTTCCTGCCTCCCCCGTGTCGGCCGGACCTGGGGCAGGAGAACACCCTTCGGGGACTTGAGGCCCTCCGCCAGCCAGCCCGCACAGGACATCCAAGGGCACCCTCCCCAGGGTGCACAAGGGGCATCCAACAAGCACGAAGGACATTATGGTACCCTCCCCGAGCCGGCCTCGATCTCGTACCTCGGTCCGACCGTAGATCTAGCTGCGTATTCCCGGTTGGCTTGCAGGTCCCAACTCGGCTTTCTGGCGGCCGATCGAGACGATCCAGGCACCCCAGAAAGCTCTCAACGAGGCGCTCCGAATGGAGAGCGTCCCGAGGCTGGAAAGCCGCCGAGAACCAACGATAATCTCCGAAGCCTCGAACCTCGAACCCGAAACTCTTGAAGTTCCCCTCCCCGAACCGACCTCGATTGTATGCCTCGGTCCGACCGTCGTGGTTTGTTCGCAAACGTCGACCTCCAGAGGTCTCGACCCCTACCCCAGGACCAGTTGTTCGCCCTCGATCGTTCTTGAACGGCCCCGAGGCCCAGCCACAGCCCCGCGGGGGCCGAAGACAGCGAAAAACCTCCCGTCGTGATCTTGTCACGACGCGAGGGCGTCTGGGACTGTCCTTCCTCTCGGCGGCGAGCGATGGGGAAGTGAAAAAGGGCGGGCCTTCTCAGAAGGCTCTGGAGCCCCCGGGCCTTCTGAGAAGTTTCACAAGCCTTCCCCGAAGACACAGAACACTTCTCAGGAGGCACAAGGACTCCCGAGAAGACTTCTCAGAAGACACGGCAGTCGGGCCGCCTTCTGATAAGGCCTTCTTCTCCTCAATGTCCTCCCTCGCTCGCCGCCGAGGTCCGACTCTTGGCGACGCGCACGAAGGGATAGGGGAAGGGAAGAAGGCTTCTTCGAAGCAAGCCGCTTCTTAGGCGGCGGCCCTACATCTGTAGACGAGGCCCGCGCCTTCTAAGAAGCAGGGGTGCTTCTAAGAAGCCCTCCCCCCCCCTCCCCCCACCCCCCTCTGCTGGAGGCCTCCTAGATAGGGGTCCGAATAGATTGGGTCGAAGGATCGCGCCGCATCGCAAACGCATCGCCGATGTATCGGCGATGCTTCGGCGACGTCGGCGATGCATCGGTGACGTCGGCGTGGGGAAACACGGACTCCGAATCGAGCCGCCTCGTCGATGCCTCGGCGATGCGGCGCGACCCTTCGACCCCATCTGCTCGGACCCCCTCTAGGAGGCCTAGATCTGCGCGTGGCTGCATTTCCCCCCCTCGCTCGCCGCAGCGGTCCGACTCCACGGCCCCCTGCGCGAGCAGGCACTTTTCGGAGGTGGACAAACCTCCCTTCCATAAACCTCCCCCTTAGTGAAAACGGCCCAGGACCGAAACCGACGGACCTGGACCCGCAAACAACGACGGCCGTGACGCCCCCTCGCGAACCGAAAGCGGCCCATTCGCTCATCGACGTGCCAGGGTCGGAGGTCTATCCAACTCCGAGACGGACCTGGAGCCGCAAACAACGACGGCCGTGACGCCCCCTCGCGAACCGAAAGCGGCCCCGTTCGCTCATCGACGTGTCAAGGCAGGAGGTCTATCCAACTCCGAGACGGACCTGGACCCGCAAACAACGACGGCCGTGACGCCCCCTCGCGAACCGAAAGCGGCCCATTCGCTCATCGACGTGCCAGGGTCGGAGGTCTATCCAACTCCGAGACGGACCTGGAGCCGCAAACAACGACGGCCGTGACGCCCCCTCGCGAACCGAAAGCGGCCCCGTTCGCTCATCGACGTGTCAAGGCAGGAGGTCTATCCAACTCCGAGACGGACCTGGACCCGCAAACAACGACGGCCGTGACGCCCCCTCGCGAACCGAAAGCGGCCCATTCGCTCATCGACGTGCCAGGGTCGGAGGTCTATCCAACTCCGAGACGGACCTGGAGCCGCATACAACGACGGCCGTGACGCCCTTCGCGAACCGAAAGCGGCCCATTCGCTCCTCGACGTGTCGGGGCAGGAGGTAAAACAGGGCTAGGATCGGGATAAATCGCTCCAGAGCGTTCCGGAGCGCTCTCAGAGCGTTCCTGAGCGCTCTGGAGCGGCCGCGGCGCCCAATGCATCCTCCAAACCGCCGATTCTCAGAGATTTCGAGTTTTGTCCCGATCCGATTTTGTCCCGATCTTCGCGTCGTTTTAATCTAACTCCCAGACGGACCTGGAGCCGCAAAAACGACGGCCGTGACGCCCCAATCGCGAACCAAAAGCGGCCCATTCGCCCCTCGACGTGTCGGGGCAGGAGGTTAAACAGGGCTAGAATCAGGATAAATCGCTCCAGAGCGTTCCGGAGCGCTCTCAGAGCGTTCCGGAACGCTCTGGAGCGGCCGCGGCGCCCCATACATCCTCCAAACCGCCGATTCTTAGAGATTTCGAGCTCCCGATCCGATTTTGTCCCGATCTTCGCGCCGTTTTAGGACGACCCCCTCGCGAACCAAAAGCGGCCCCACTCGCTCATCGACGTGCCAGGGCAGGAGGTCCATCCAACTCCGAGACGGACCTGGAGCCGCAAACAACGACCCCCGCGCGAACCGAAAGCGGCCCCATTCGCTCGTCGACGCGTCGGGGCATGAGGCCCGCCCACCCTCTTGGGGGCGTCAGTCCAGTTGGAGGTTCCAGGACGTATGGTCTGGTGGTCTGGTGATCTGGTGATCTGGTGGTCTCGTGATCTGGTGGTCTCGTGGTCTGGCGGTGGTCTTGTGGTCGGAGGTGAGGGGGTGAGGGGGTGAGATCGAAGTGGAACGGAGAGCCCCCCTACCGGGAAATCGATTTCGGTTTCGTGTTCGTGCGTGCCGTGCGTGCGGGCGAGGCGAAGCTGCGTGGGCGGGCCGCACTCTTCGAACAGCGGCGCGCGCTCGGTGCCGCCGCTCCGTGCCGGCCCGTGGCCCTCGCGCAGCCGGCCCGCCTGCGGGCACCAGCGCCGTGCTGCCGGCCCGGAGGCCGGGAGGCGCCCCGCCGCCGCCCTCGCCTCGCGGCCGGGGTCGGGTGGGGCCTGCCCCTCTGCAGGAGGAGTGTGCAGAAACGGTCGACCCATCGTTCTGGGGACGATGTGCTGATTTCTTGTTACCAGTTCTGCCCGTTTGGGGGGGGGGGGCATGTTTTGAACACGTGTGGTTCTCACCCCAAATCCCCCTGTGGGGGGACACGCCCGACGTGAGGCTGGTGGGGGTAGGGGGTCTGCCGCTGGAGCAGGACTCAGATTGGCGGCGAGCGAGGGGGGAACGTGAGGAGGAGGAGGCCTGCTCAGGAGGCGGCGGGACTTCTCAGAAGGCCTCGCGTCTTCTGAGAAAATGTTCTTGTCTTCGGGGAAGGCTTACGTAGAACAATTCTTTGAAGGCCGGGGGACTTCCGGGCCTTCTGAGAAGGCCCGCCCCTTCTCACTTCCCCCCCTGGCTCGCCGCCAAAGAGGAGCAAAACATGGTCTCTCATGAACTAGGTGCTGGTGAGAATAATCCCCTGGGATGGTAAAACTCGGGGTCCAAGCAGGAGAGTATTTCTTCCCGGAGATATCGATGTCAAAATGTCTGCACGGCGTTTCGCCTGAGACATCCTCACACTCAGAGCCATGATAGGACTTTGGGAGAGGATAAAACATTTCGACCTCCCCGCCAGCTGTTTCAATTGAAGTGTTTTCCTTATCCCGTGGATAAAGTTATCCCGAGATGTTTTACTATCCCGAGGATGCGGTTATGCAAATGGTGTGCTCCGAGACTGCCATGATGGCCCCGGCAGTCGCCGAAGCGCACAGGCTCGTGCGGCCCCACGGCAGCGCGAGGCGATCGACCCTCCTGCCACCTGGGGCCTGGGCGCACCAGTCGCGAGCACTGGGGCGCCGTTGCTGCGAACGTGGACATTCGAAATATCAGCGAGCTCGCGGGGGGGAGTGGAGCGAGGAGGACGACTTTGAAGGGGCCCAGGGACACACACACACACATAAATAGACACACATCCCAGGACTCCTCCTATGCTTACAGACGTTCTGGATGTTCGTTTTCTCATCCGTTTCCGATGTTGTCCCATGGTTTTCTTGGCACCTACGTTTCATGGTGTCTGTCCTGTGCCTGTGTTTCCCTCCAGAGACTCTGACTTGGCATGAGAACATCGAGCCGCATCGGATCGTTGGCCAACTGGCTTCGCGTCAGGCGCCTGGCGGTGCGAAGCGACTGGTGCCGACCCCCCGGAGAAGGCCGCGACGCGACACTCGCATTTTTCCTCGCGCCCCTGCGGGAGGTAAGAGACCCCCACCTCCCTCTTCCAATGGCATAAATCACATCAAAAACCCGCCATCAACTTTTGACATGCTCGGGCCAGAACGTGCAGGAATTCCCTGTGCGAGAGGAGGGAAAACGGACTCGCCACTGCGACCAGGAAGCCGATCCAAGGATGAACGGCGCGATGGCGCGTCGGCGCCGGGTAAGCCTTCACAACATCCGCCCAATACGCTTCGTCCTGGTAAACTGTTACAGCATCTGCCCACCTTTTCCGCGGACCTCGTGGACTTCTGGTAGAATTGAACGGTTTCCAGGTTGCAAGATTCGCTTTCTGTGTCCATGCGGCTTGATGCTGAACCACCCACTCCCACAGCCCCAAATCAATTGCGTCTGCTCCGCATAGCGTGTCGCACGTGTAAAAAATTATTAGTACTGGGGTTCCAATCTAAACATCGAAGAAGACCCTGAAGACGACGAATTGTTTGATGAGTATGATGGCGTCTGAATGGATGGCCGGGCGATGTGTCTGCGCTGCTCTGCGTCTCGATGTGCGGGCGACCAGCCGCAATATTCGCCTCTGAGTTCGCTGGATCTTGTTTTTCAGCTGAGAGAAAGACCCAGGAGGAGGGAATAGGGAGGCAACCGGAGCAAAGAGGGGATACGACGAGGAGCATGAGGAACTAGTGGCTAAAGACCTGCTAACCTCCTGTTTGTGATGTGATGCCATCGTCGCCGCTGTCCCTCACCGTAGCCGCACGTTGTCGTTGCCTTCGTCGCACCCGTTGTCCAGTTGGGCTTGCTCCCACCCCCAAACGCTCGCAGCCATATACTTACAGCGATACGTGACAACATGATAAGTGCATATGGGGATATCCATGTCGAGTACTGATTCCAATGTGTCTCTTAGCGCTTACCCTTGACACAGACACTACCCCCAAGGAATATGCTGTGACCTACGCATCGTGCCGCGGCAAAACCATGATCGCAGACACGTCGGGATGTGCGTAAACGCCACACTGATGTGGACAATGACGAGACTGATGACAACGGAAATGATGGCAATGAGAAAATCGCCTCCCCCAACCCTCGTTGCCACTGGCCCCGCCTGGCCCACATCTGCTCCGGATCCGTCCCTGGACCCCTCCGGGGGTCCACCCTCACCACCTTTCGGCAGGAGTCGGGGATGGACAGACCTCCCTTTAGTAAAACGTGGTTTAGTGAAAACGACTTCGTGCCCAAACATGGCGGGCGCAAGCCTGGAAAATAACGGCCACGGCGCCCTCTCGAAAACCGAAAACGGACAATTCACTAATCGACGTGTCACTGTTGGGGGTTCTGTCCACCCCCGAAGGAGACCCAGCTGAGGCGACGAAGAGCCTCCGGGAGGCCCGTGCCCCCGTTGGCCAGCAAAAAACTCCCCGAATGGGGTTGGAGTGGGCGGGGTCGGAGGATCGCGCCGCCTTGCCGATGCATCGCCGATACATCGGCGATGCATCGGCGACGTGGGCGACGCACTGGCGCCGTCGGCGTGAAGAAAATCGGGCGCCACGTCGACCGCATCGGCGATGCGCCGGCGATGCGGTGCGATCTCCCGACCGTCTACTTCGACCCCAACCGGGAGCCCCATTTCCCATTATTCGCGATAACGCCCGTGACTGGCCCAGCCTCCCCCGCCCTGGTGACGTCGCGATTTGCGCTGGCGCTGTCTGGGACAGAGCCATTCCCCGGCATTCCCAAACAGCGCCGACGCGAATCGCAACGTGACCAGCCCCCGGCCCCCACGTTGGTCACGCAGGTATCGCCGTGGGGCATAAGAAATTATCTCCATCTGAAAGGCCCAGATGCCCAGCCCGAGCAAACAGTTGAAAAGAAAAGAGGAGGAAGAGGAGAAGGAGGAGGAGGAGGAAACGGAGGATGAGGGGAGGAAAAAAGGCAGAGGAGGATGGAAGAGGAGGAGGAGGAGGAGGAGGAGGAGGAGGAGGAGGAAAGAGGATGAGGAGGAGGAGGAGGAGGTAGCGAGGAGGAAGAGTTCGTTCGTTTTCTCAAACGCAGAAACACAGAGGTTCCATACGTCACCCGTCCATGATGGCGCGCCGCCCGCTGGCGAGCACACGCTCACTTGGGGAGAGGAGGCAGCAAGGCAACGAGGGAACAGAAAAGGAGGAGGAGGAGGAGGAGGAGGAGGAGGAGGAGGGGGAGCAAATGGAGGAGGAGGCAGGCGGGGTAGGAGGAGGAGGAGGAGGAGGGGGAAAAGGAGATGGTGAAGGAGGAAGAGGCGGAGGGGGAGGAGGAGGGCGGGGGAGGAAATGGAGGATGATGGAGGATGACGGAGATGACGGGGATGCTTAATTACGAGGGCGATGATTAAGCTGATGGTGGCGGTGGTAATGATGATGCTGATGTTACTGATGATGGCGATTATGCTGATGATGATGGTGATGGTGTTGGTGTTGATGCTCATGCTGCTGGTGCCGGCGCTGGTGGTTGTAAAGATGATGAAGAGGATGATGACGAGGATGTGACTATGATAACGATTACGATTCGGTGTATGACGATGATGATGCGGATGATGATGGTGCCGATGCTGCTGATGATGGCGATGGTGATGCCGGCGGTGATGATGATACGTATGATGATGATGATGATGATGATGATGATGATGATGATGATGATGATGATGATTATTATGATTATGATGATGATGATGATGGTGCTGCTGATGGTGTTGATTGTGATGATGATGGTCATGATTTGAATGATGATGAGGAGGAGGACGACGATGAGAATGAGGATGAATAGGAGGAAGAAAAAAAGGAAGAAGGAGGAGGGCGAAGAAGGAGGAGGAAGGAGGAAGACAGGGAAGCAGGTGGAGGAGGAGGAAGAGGAGGGCGGAAGAGGGAAGAGGCGGCAATCAGGAGTTACAGTTAAACAAGGTTTACTTTGGACTTAACCCTCCGCTGGGCGAGCATCAAGGCATTCGCCCTGCGAAAGGGGTTAGCTCTAGGTTAAACCTTTCTTTTCTCGTGGGCGCCGAGCGTCGCGGGGATCTACCCAGAGGAGGGCCACCTCCGTTCAAACCCGTTTCGCGGAAGCCGAGCGTCGCAGGGGTCCACCCTGAGGAGGGCTACCTCCAGATTAAGCCCTGTTCGCGGACGCCCCCGTGGCCCCCGCGCGCAATTCGCCACCTGGCAGGGCACCGGTAAATCTAGAGTTGACCCTCCTCGTTTGGACACCCTCTAAGAGGCGGAGGCGGAGAAGGTGGAGAGCGAGGGAGAGGGAGTGAGAGAGAGAGAGAGGGAGGGAGAGAAAAAAAGAGAGAAACAGAGAGATGACGAGAAAGAGAGAGACAGAGAGAGACAGAGAGAGAGTGAGAGAGGGGGAGCGAGAGTGAGAGAGAGAGAGAGAAACATAATGACGAACGCATAGCGAGGGATAGACAGAAAGAGAGAGAGAGAGATAGCGCGACAAGATACAGAGGGAGGGAGAGAGAGGGCGTAGAGAAGCATAAACCTAAAGGAAGGGAGGCATTCGACACAACTTACACGCAAACCTGTATTTATGCATATCTATACATATATATATACATATATCTATAGATACCGATCTATACATATACATATATATAACTAGATGCAACAATAATCACGCGGGGAGAGAGAGAGAGAGAGAGAGAGATAAAGCAATACAGAGAGAATGATAAAGAAAACGATATCTGTATATACATAGATGATAACAACAATAACAAAACAAACAACACATGAAAGGACAAGGGGATGGCGAGATGGAGAGCGAGGGGTGCAGAGTGACCGAACCTGTCGCCCGGAAGCTCCTCGGCGGTCCAAAGACTTCGCGGCCTTGAGCGTCGCGGCCTTGATTACCAATCCGCGGCAATGTCGGTTTCTGCTGGAGATCGGTTTGGTGTTGTTTGCGGCTCAGAGGTGGTTCTCTCGGGTTCGTCAAAGGGGCCATCAGGTCGATTCGGGAACATCTTGGGGACGCCTTGAGATCATATGCAAACGTCGCATTACATTTTGAGGTCGCTGGAGGGTCGCGTTGGGGTTATACTGGGGTCGCGTTAGGTCCTGATATCGCCCTGGGATCGTCATGGGCTTGATGCTGTTGTCCCGGGGTGGCCTTAGGGCCAGCCGCAAGGTGATAGGGTCCTTTCGCAGTTGACGATGTCATTCGGGCCGTGTCGGGGTCACCCTGTGATCATCACGGGTGCGAAAAGCCGTCTTAGTGTCGTCCTAGTGGTCATCAGGGGTCGTGGGATCACCGCACTGTCATAACGCCTTTCCGAACAATCACCAGTGTCATCGTCATCGTTATCAAGACCATCACCATCAGCATCCTCATCATCCTCACCATCATCATATGTCCTCTCCACCTCCTCCATTGGACATCGTTACCGTGGCGTCTTCGGGCCTCCTTGGCAGGAGGTACCAATCGACTAGTTCAGTGACAAAGGAGAGAGGGCATTAATCATTTTGAATCAGTCGTGAGCATGTTGGGAATCTCTTGTGGACATCTAGAACACCTGTCCAGAGACTCTCAAGGCCTCTTAGCGGCCTTGCCAACCGACTTAGAAGGCTTATGGACGCTGCGAACCCATATAGATCAAACTCATAATCGTTTGGGCCAGAGTTGACCTCTCGGTGGCAACTGCGTAAAAAATGTTACTCCAGAGTCAGCACTCCGACCGGAAATACAATTAAACCAATTTACTCCAAACTTAACCCTCCGACAGGAGATCCCGCTAAAAGTGCAAACTCTGGAGTTAACCCCTTTGGGAAGGGAGCGTAAACTGCATGTGTGCTGTTGTTGTTGAAGAGAGCGCCTGCAGACCCCAGAGAAGGAACCGACGAAACAAGAAAGCCCGCAGCGTGTGAGAAGCACTCGCCCTAGATCAAAGCTACGAGCGACCTGAGCCAGAAAGCCTACAGGGCAAGAGAAACACGCACACTGAACCAGCAAGCCTGCAGAACGAACAAACACCTCGAAAACCAGACGGGCCAGCAGCGCTGGAAAAGTAAGCCTCCAGAACCAGAAACATGACAACACTAAGGCAGAAGGGATTCATAGCAAGAGAACGCTCGTATTTGAAAAAAAGGAGCCGGCGTTACCAGAGAGCCAGCAGCCCCAAACAAAACAACCTTCGGAGCAAAAAAGCCTGAAGAGCGAGAAGCGGTGGCTCAATAACTGGGTGGGTCAATAATCAGACAGCAGGACGAGAGGAGGGCGGCATAACTAAACTTACAAGGACCCACCCCCCTGAGCAGCCTTGACGAAACGTCGCCCATAACGTGAAAAAAACTGTGGAACTGTATTGGAAACCGAATCGATTGCAGAGATGCCAGCGCAACTTCAGAAAGTAACCCCCGATAACAACAAAAACCCAAGGACTAATGAAAGGAGCGACTGCACCTCCGTAAATGGCCAGCCCCACGGCGAGAATGTTTCGAGCACGGGGCCCAGGAAATGAAAAGAGCATGCAATAGAGAAGAGGCGACATGGTCGCCAGAGGGGCGCCTCAGATGTAGAGAGGTTTAATACAAAGTAAACCCTTTCCAATGGTGAAGCACTGAAGGTACAAGTTCAACAAGATTTAATCCAGATTAAACCTTTTACAGAACTCGTGATTACACACTTTTTCGGAGGAGGAGGAGGAGGAGGAGGAGGAGGAGGAGGACTAGGAGGAGGAGGAAGGCGGAGGATGAGGAGGTGGAGGCTGAGGAGGAGGCTGAGGAGGAAGCTGAGGAGGAGGGCGGAGGACGGCCGAGGCTGAGGCGGAGGAGTGAGCTGAGGACGAGGAGGTGGCGGATGCTGAGAAGGAGGGCGACAGAAGGCAGAGGCTGAGGAGGAGGCGAGGAGGAGGCTGAGGAGGAGGAGGAGGACGAGGAGGAGGAGGAGGCTGAGGAGGAGGAGGCGGAGGAGGAGGAGGAGGAGGAGGAGTGCGGAGAAGGAGGCGGGGGCTGAGGAAGACGGCGGCGGAGAGCAGAGGCTGATGAGGAGGCTGAGGGGCGGCGCGGGAGCGCTGCGCGGCCGAGAAGTAGGAGGAGAAGGAGGCTGAGGAGGAGGAGGACGAGGAGGTCGAGGAGAAGGAGGCTGAGGAGGACGGCAGCCGAGGACAAAGGCTGAGAAGGAGGCGGAGGAGGAGGAGGAAGAAGAAGGCGGAGGAGGAGGAGGAGAAGGAGACTGAGGAGGACGGCGGCGGAGGGCAGAGGCTGAGGAGGAGCTTAGGAGGAGGAGGAAGAAGAAGGCGGAGGAGGATAGGATGGCAGAGGAGGAGGAGGAGGCTGAGGAGGACGGCGGCGGAGGGCAGAGGCTGAGGAGGAGGCTGATGATGATGATGAGCAGGAGGAGGAGGAGGCGGAGGAGGCCGAGGAGGCCGAGGAGGACGGCGGCGGAGGGCGAAGGCGCAAAGGCTGAGGAGGAGGCTGAGGGGCGGCGCGGGATCGCCTGCGCGGCCGCCCGCCGCGTTGCCACTGGAGGCCTGCAGCAGCTCGGGCACCAGGCCCTCCTGGGCGCCGCTGGGCCCCGGTTCGACGCCGACGCGCGCGGGCCCCGCGGCAGCGGCCAGCGCCGCCGCCCGATGCCGACGCTGACGCCAACGCCGCCGCCACCGCCACCGACGTCGACGACAAAATAGCCGACGCCGCCGCCGCCGCCGCCGACGCCGCCGCCGACGCCCGACGCCGACGCCGACGACGACGACGACGCCGCCGACGCCGACGCCGACGCCGACATCGACGCCTTCGCCGACGCCGACCCTGACGCCGACGCCGACGCCGACGCCGACGCCGACGCCGACGCCGACGCAGACGACGACGACGCCGACGCCGACGACGACGACGACGACGACGACGACGACGACGGTGGCAGCGACGACGACGACGACGGGCGACGGAGGCGGCGTCGGCGGCGACAACGGCGGCGATGGCCACTGGACCAACCGAGTCGCACGGCCCGCCGTCGGCACCCAGGGGCTTTCGGTCCGGTGCTGCGCAGCCGAGGCCGCCCCGCCGCCGCGTGGCCCAAGCGGAACGGACTCGTGGACCCCGCAGCAACGGCCAGAAACGCCGTGGAATGGCCAGGCCCACCGCCCGCCCGCAGGGGTCTCAGAGCCTACGGGGCGCGTCGCCTTGGGTGGAGGTAAAAGTGGGGCAGTGGCAGAGGGGGGGGGGGAGGAACATGCCTCTAGACAGCCCCTGGGAGAAGGGAGCGTGGGCATCAAGCTGGACCGCTCCCTAGCCCTCTCCTCTGTGGCAGGCAACGCATGGAAGCCTCCCATACCATCCTTTTGGCTCATGCGGATCGATGCTAATCGACTCGAGTCGACGCTAAATCGACGCCGAGACGGCCCTATCCCATCGATTGCCAGACGCCGCTCGACGCTTACTAATGCACTCTTAAGGCGGAATTCCGAGGGAACGCACGGCTCCCGTTATTTGCTTCCGAACCCTCCTTGGCCGCGCGCACACAGGGGTGGCGGGAGAAAGGTTTCTCAGAAGGAGGCTGCTCCATAGAAGGCGCCTGTTATACGTCTACAAACAAGGCCCGCGCCTGATCAGAAGCAGGAGCGTTTCTGACAAACCATCCCCCTTCCTCAGACCTCCATCTGAACGTTGTTGACTTCTGCGAACCCCCGAGTCGGAAGACAACACGGCAGGTCGGAAGGGCCCGGCGCGAGGCCCGGGCGGAGCCGCTGCGCCGCAGCAGCGGCCAGCTCCCGGCGGTGCACGCCCGACTGGTCGCAAGTGGGTGAGCTGCTCCTTGCCCCTTGGAGCACGTTGCCATACAATTCGCGATAACGAACGTTACCAGGATATCCCCCCCTCCCCCGAGCGTATCGCGCAGTTTCAAAGCGCCCCTGGGTCCTTTGATGCGCAGCCGATCCGACGGAAGCGCGCGCCATCATACTCGGCAATGCCGAAACCCTCGCGACATGAAACCCGCGAGGGCAGAGGATAGGCACGTGGGGTGGTCATCAGCATTTTTGCGGCGATGGGTGAGAGAGGACGCTGTCGTCGGCCCTACGGGCGACGGAAGCGACTAGGACGGTGGCACACATATCACCGCCTTATCGATGCTCGCGGGGGGGCTCAGGCTCAAGTTGTTGGGCCGGGCCGACGAGTTCAAGGCTGGAGCCGCGCAGTCGCCCGCCATCCTCCAGGGTCACGCGGGAAGCCACAGGGGTTGCATCATTCCTCAGCTTGCGAGCGAGCTTCCGCAGTGACAGACATCGGGCTGGCCACCACCCTGGGCACTTCTGCCGGCGGCTCGTCGGATCCAGATGGTGACGAAGTGACGCTGGGACGCACCCTGAGATCCGATGTCGTGAGTTCTTCAATACGGGGTCCCCAGAAATCTCGACCCATTCCTCAGAACCGATTTTTCATCCTGAGTTGGTTTTTGAAGGGCGCATTTGCTGCGGCCGCCCGTGCGCAGCTGCAACCGGGACGACGGGGCTTTGGCGTACATTGCAAAGCTTACACATCCAGCCACCGAAATGGGAAAATGCCAGAGCTCGTGCCCGGCCAACACAACAGGGTCCTCAGGTATGCCCCCAGAGCCCGCGCACGTGGTCGGGGGCGAGAGCTCCCAGGCCAACGCGGCGGAAGCTCGGGCCAGCCGAGACAACAGAAATCAAACGTGGCCTTGATCGATTTGATCGACCGGTTCGACAAGGCCTGGGGCCGGAGGCCTTATGCGTCGAGAAGAATGACATCCATCTGTCAGCATGCCGTCCAATACGAGGGAGGCCAAGAAAGAGTCCCACGACGTCTCTTCGTTAGTGGGGCCCTGGAAACGGCAGGGCCGTTGTTTCACCAGTTCTGTTTTGCCGTTTTGTTTCCGGTTCCGACGCCGTTTTTTACCCGTTCCGTCGCCGTGTTTTGACCGGTCCCGGCTCCGGTTCCAATCCTGGAGCCGTTTGTTTGCCGTTTCCGGTCGCCGATTTTTTCTGCCGTTTCCGTTTTCAAGGGGCAGTCTTCTGGAAACGGTGAAGCAACGGCCCTGCCGTTTCCGGGGCCCACAAAAGTCTCTGCTCGCACGGAGCGAGCTCAGGCGGTCAGACACAACTGACTTGATGGGCCTGTTTTCCACCACCACCACCATAATTTGGAAGGGGGGAGGAGGTGGAGGACGAGGAGGAGGAGGAGGAGGAGGAGAAGGAGGAGGAGGACCCCCTCCCTTTCCAAGTTATGGTGGTGGCGGCGGAAAACAAGCCCATCATGACTCATCCACAGGGCAGACTCGAAGCACCCGGAGCACGACGAGCCGCTCAGCCCGAGGGGCCCGACCGGGAAGCGACCGCAGCCTGGCGCGGACGGGCAGCCTCCGGGGCCCGACCTCGGCACCTGGCCGCCCACGCCCGCGGGTCTGTCAGGGCAGCTGCGGGCAAATCCTGCGCCGTCAGAGCAGCCAGCCGCGCACGAGGCCTCTTCGGTCGCACCCCGCGCGCACAGCGGGAATGGGCCAGCGGCGGGGTTGCGCACCGCGGGGGCTGGGTGGGCCGATGCAGAAACTCCACAAGATCCTAGACCTGCTTTCCGTCGTCAAAGACTACCTGGTCCCCGAGCTTCCCTCTGCGTCCTGACACGTCATCAGGGATCGACGCGACGCGCCTGCATGGGCGTCCACATGGCATTGCCGATCAAACGTCTCACGGCAACACGGCGGGCATCGTTACAAATCCATGGCGAACCATCTAATCCACAATACTTCGTCGCCCAAAGCCCGGTCTTGCAGCGCGCGGCGCGCTTGCATCCCCCACGCGCCTTCTCGGAGCTGCGCTGCCAGCTCAGACAGGGCGACGCGGAGCAAGTCCACAGTGCCACCAGCATCAGCGATGCGAAGGTGCGCAGCGGCCATCATTCAGCCCGCGCACCCCGAACTTTACGTAACAGCACTGATCGGACCACGGCGCGCATTCCACGCGGGTTGATCTTGGATCTGACCTGACTTGCTGCCCATGCTTTCTGCCATGACGGTTGACCATTGGCACTGTAGCGTCTAACAGGGGGGTCGAAAAAAGGGCCGGGTTGGGTCGAGAGCCAGGCCGCCAACGATCCCGCCCGCTTCGCAGCGAACGTGCGGAGGGCCCGCAACGCGGGACTCGTCAGACCAGCAATCCCCGCCCCGTGGGCCCCAACTAGCATCGAGCCACCGCGCCAGAGCATGCGCGCCTTGCCCGGAGCCCCTCGGCAGTGCCATCAACTTGTCTTGACGGCGCAAACAACGTTTCTAAACGGATCTGCTCTTGGGCCCTCACGGGCTCGCTTGAACAAAACAACGTCATATCAAATATTCCTCATGTGGGCGTGGCTCCGAAGATTCGTGACGCGAACAGACGACGACAGATGAGACGACGCGAACAGACGACGACAACTGCTCCACTGTACTCTACTCTGTTCTACTCCAGTGTACTCGACTTTAACTCTACCATGCATACCCAGCTGGACTCTGCTCCGCTCTACCCCCACCCTACCCGATCCTACCCTAACCTACTCCACTCCACACATACTGTACTCTACTCTACTCACACTCTACACTAGTCTTCTCTGCTCTACTTGCCCTGCTCTCTTCTACTCTTCCCTACCCTTCACGCCCCTGCTGTATTATGTTATACTCGGCTCGTCTGACCGTCTGCTCTCTACTCGAATATCCTCTACTCTACCCTACCTCACCCTACCCTACCCTACTCTACTCTAGCCTTCCCTAAAACGCTATATTCTACCCTCACCTGCTCTCCTCTAGTCTCCCGTACTCTAATCCGCCGGCCCTCTTGTGGGGCCACTAGGCTGTAGGCCGAAACTTCGCAGTTTCCTGTACCAGTTGCAGCTTCCAGTTTCCACTGTTACAGGTCTGCTTCTTGCTGCTTACTGTTCCTTGTTGACTTCTTGCTGCTTACTGTTCCTTGTTGATGGACTGCGCGAGGGGGGGAGGCCCAAAACGGGCATTTCTACCACGCCCTGGGAAGGTTCTCAGAATTTCTAGGGGTGTAAAAATTTGCACCCCTCACGCAGATCGGCGGGGTCAGGGTCCAACAGCACAACGGATTTGCCACATTTCTGACATTCGGTCGCACCCCTCACACAGATCGGCGGGGTCAGGGTCCAAAAACAAATGGGATTTGCCACATTTCTGACATTCCGTGGCACCTCCCCTCATGCAGATCGGCCGGGTCAGGGTCCAAAAACACAGCGGAGTTGCCACATTTCTGAAATTTGCTGGCAGCCCTCACGCAGATCGGCGGGGCCAGGGTGCAAAAACACAGAGGATGTGCCACATGTCTTAAATTCGGTTGCACCCCTCACGCAGATCGGCGGGGTCAGGGTCAACAAAACATATTAAATGTGGCACATGTTTGAAATTCGGTGGCACCCCTCACGCAGATCGGCGGGGTCAGGGTCCAAAAACACAACGGATTTGCACATTCCTGAAATCTGCTGGCACCCCTCACGCACATCGGCGGGGTCAGGGTGCAAAAACACAGGGGATGTGCCACATTTCTGACGTCCGGTCGCACCCCTCACGCAGATCGGCGGGGTCAGGGAGCAAAAACACAGAGGATTTGCTACATTTCTGAAATTCGCTGTCACCCCTCATGCAGATCGGCGGGTCAGTGTCCAAAAACAAAAGGGGATTTGCCGCATTTCTGAAATTCGGCGGCACCCCTCACGCAGATCGGCAGGGTCACGACGTCTTACCAATCGCTAGGTGTGGTAACCCCTCTGGTCCTCTATTGTTTTTGCTCATTACGAGTCGGCCTCGCATGAAGTTCCGATACTGCTTCACGACAGCGCCCAGGCCTCATGACATAGCTCTTGCATAGCGCATTCTGCGAGAGAGGGGGGGCCGGCGGCAGGGGACGAAGCCCTTACGGATGATATACTCTGCCCTGCCATAAACGACTCTACCCTACGATGCCCTCCTCTACTCATAAACGCTGTTCTACTCTAGTCTGCTCTGGTCTACTCTACTCGTACTTCTGAGTTTGACACTTGTTCGCCGACTGCTGGGAAGCCATTGGGGTATCCACAGGAAGCCATTGGAATAGAAAAGGCAATCATGCGTATACGGAGAAAATTATGCGGACAGCAGGGGGAACCAGGCGGATATACGAGAACGATGTGGGTAACTTTGACGACTTATGGACGGAACAAATAAACGGCAATGTAATAGCCATAACAAACCGTTAGAATGACCAAGGACGCCATGAAAATATAAAGAAAGTCATACGGAGAGGAGAGGAAGCCACTCGGATACAGAGGAAATCATGCGGATATCAGTTTGATCGGTAGCCTGCAAGATGGACAAAAGATTGCACGAACAGTCCTCGAGGGAGCTCCAAGAGGGCCCCGCTGATGCCCCGAAGAAGCCTCCAAGAGGCGCCCAAGCGGACCCCAAGAAAACACCAAAAGGTCCCCAACAGGTCTCTGTTAAGCCCCTAGAGCCTAGAGCGGGCAAAATGTCCCCGATACGCCCCAAGAGGCCTCTGAGAGGCACCCAAGAGACGCCACCCCACAAGAACCAAGGAAGCTTCCAAGGGTCTTTGCCCACTGAGTCTCCCCGAGGTATCCCGTTGATGCCACACAACCCCGATACGGGCAGCTCTACTGGGCAGCGTTCTTGGATGGGCTGGGGGGGTCTTCGAAGCGTTGATAATACCCGATGCCCATTCACAAGACGGGCACACATAACAGGAACTAGCCGCTGCCCACTCTCGTACTGCACTTTCGCCCGGATATGTCGCTCCCACGCCTCTGGCCCTCCACCTCAGCCTCCCCTCGGCACAACATCCCCTCCCACTGAGCAGCGCCACTGTGTCCTCGACATTCAGCAGCTCCATCAACGGCGGAACGTGGTGAAAGCTCCTTGAAACCGCAAAAGAGTGGTCGATTCAACAACTGAGTGCCAAGAACCTGCCTAATCTCACCAAGCAGTCACAGCTGGCCTTGACTGGCCGGAGCAAACGATGACAGCAAAGGGAGAGCCCGCCTCGTTCGGGCCAGAATTGTGGCCCGCTCCTGTCGTCGAAAACCTCCTGCGCGGAGGTGGTGCGGGGCCGTGTGAAGGGGGCACCGCTTGGCGTGACAATCGGTTGGCAGGCTAAGGCGTGACGAGGCCACCGCACTTCCAGAGATTCGGGGATCTACTGAACCGGTCGACCCAAGCCTGGGCAAGTCAGGCTTTTCAAGATTCTGAGGATCCTGCAGCCAAGCCCAGGTCAATACGAACCTAGCTCTGCAGGATCCTTCAGGATCCGGCGCTCTGACGGACCCCCGTTTGCACTGACCCCCGTCTCAAGGCCTCCGAGGCATCACTGCTGCCTACGACCCGTGCGGAATTCAAGCGCTTGGTTCCCGTCGCCAACCCACCGACCGTGACCAGGACGTCCACCCTGACCAGGGGTGTTGCCCGTGCTGGGCAGACCACTGGCTCACGACGGCAGTGCGCCAGACAGCGCGACGCGGAGCCTTGCACGTGCCCGTGCGCCAGAGGAGTGGCGGCGAGGATGGCGACCTCGAGTGATGACGGCGGCGGCGGCCACTGATGTTGAAGACGGTGCTGCTGGCGAGGAGTGAACAGATAAAGAGCGGATGAGGATGGACAATACAAGAAAATGGGATGAAGCCCTTCGCCAGGTTCCTCTCGCGACCTCAGCATCAGAAAAAGCTCGGGGGGGGATCGGGGGGGCGATCTCAGCCCAATGGTCCCCCAGACTATCACAAGGTTCGCCACAGGGTGGCGAAGAGAGGCCAAGAGGCCTCGACGAACGCCCCAAGCGAGCCCAAGGATCTCCGAGAGCCCAGGACGGCCCAAGATGCCTTCAAGGTCGCCCCGAGACAACGCCTGAAGTGCCCACGACTCCACCAAGAGGGCCCCGGCACGCTCAGATAATGCAAGCAGCTAGTAGAAACACCTTGGTACTCCTGTTCGGCGGCGAACGAGGGGGGGAAAGTGAAAAGGGGCGGGCCTTCTCGGAAGGCTCGGAAGTCCCCCAGCCTTCTGAAAAGTTTCCTGGGCCTCCCGCGAGAACACGGAAGACTTCTCAGAATGCCCGAGGGCTTCTGAGAAGCCCCGCCGCCTGTTGAGAAGGCCTTCTCCTTCTCACTTCCCCCCCTCGCTCGCCGCCGATGTGTGCCCTGTGCCCTCCCCCCGCCCGCCCCCCAGACCGTCGCTGATCGGAGCTCCTGCCGTGGCGGCCGCCCTCCTGCTCTGCCCTGCTCCTTTTCACCCCTCCTTTCCCGCCCCTCGGCGGCGCGCCCCGGGGTAAGGGGGCGGGGGGGAGACCCCTCAGCAGCAGGGGTGCGTCTAGGAAGCCCTCCCCCCTCCCCCTTTGCCGCCCCTGCGCGTGGCCCCCCCGAGCTCTCGCCCCCGGAGCTGGCGTCTCACCCCAAGTCGTTTTCGGACGGCAGAGGCCCCTCCTCCCTCTACAATTACTCAATATGAAAATACTCTCCCTCTTCCCCTGATGGCGTCCGAGGAGAGGCAGGGGCGCCCCGCACGGAGCTCGGGGCCCCCTGGGGCCGCCCCCGCGCCACGCCTGGGCCCTCGGCAGGCCGAGATCGGCCCACGCTCCGCTCCTGGGGCGTGCCGCACCAGAGCTGGCTCCCCCCGTTGGGCCCTCCGTCTGCAAATGCCAGCCCTCCGACGGTCCAGCCCCGTGTGGCTCTGCCTCTCGCCTGGTGCCCACAAGTCGGGGGCCCCCAAACGGTGTGGTGACCACACCATGCGGTGAGTCGGTGGGGATTCGGGGTCACCGCACGGTTTTGGGACTCGGGTCGTTCTCCGAGGATGTCTCGGGCGACAGGGGCCTCCGGGGTCCCAAGACCGTGCGGTGACGGACGGTGCGGTGAGGTCTCTTGGGGTTCCGAGGTCACCGCACGGTCTGTCACCGCACCGTTTCGGGATTCCAAAACAAGAGGTCACGCTGCGCCCATCGTCGATCCTCGGAACGTGGGTGGTTGCCAACGTCCAGCGTCTTCTTGTCCACCGAAGCCCTTCCTTAACAGGCGAAGACCGGCAGAAGGTGAACCGTTTCGCCGTCGGGGGCGCCTCTTCCACAGAGCGCCCGGGAACTGTAGGACCCCGACGGTAACACGTCAACGCGTAAACCGTCAAGCCACCCTGTGACAGGTGCCCCTGGTGACAGAAAATGTTGGCTAGAAACTCATTTGGGCCCCGTGCGTTCGTAAGGAAAAACTCCTTCGTAAAGACCCTGAAGAATCCGCACTCAAGAATTCGCAATGAAGAATCTGTGCCGAAGAAACACCAATGAGGACCTTGCCCTACAGAGCCCTTACGACGGAATTTGCACTCGAAATCCTTACTAAGGAGAATTGCCGAAGGACTTCTTAATCCGAATTCTTGACGAAGGACATACATACTCATCTCTGGGATTCCTTGCTGAGAAACATCTGCTAAGAAATATGTATAACGAAGACCCTTTTACTAAAGAGTCCAGTGGAACACATGTACGAAAGAACCCGGAATAAAGAATATTTGCTTCAGGGCCCTTAATGAAGAATGCAACGAGAAGCCTTTAACACTGAATGCGGATTAATGCATGCTGCAAAAGGGACCGTCACTAAGGAATCCCTGGTAAGGAATCTCAAGTAAGGGACCCTTAACAAGGAATTAGTACTAAGGAATACTTGATACGGGATCTGCACTAAACGGGCCTTCGTAAGGAATACTGAAGGACGGAACCTTTACTAAGGAATCCCTAGCAAAGCATCTGTACTCAGGATTCCTGAATGAAAAATCTGTACCAAAGAATCAGTTTGAAAAGAATCTGCATTAAGGAACCTTTCGTGACGAGCCTGTACTAATGCATCCTGCATAAGCAACCTGGACGGGATCGCATGCACCAAAAAAATCTTAATGGGGAACCTGCGCTACGGAATCCTTGCGCGAGGAAGTTTTTCCCAACACTCCTTGGTTGGGTATTCGTTTTGAATAGAGCAGTGTGGTCTCCACTCCTTCCTTCCTCCTCCTCCTCCCTCCCTGCCTCTTCCTGTCTTGCCTGCGGGGGGCTGCGATCTGTGAAACTGTCGCCATGTTCGAGGCCTGCTGGGGGGCCCAGCACAGTGAGGGCGACGCGCAGATTCAAATCCGCCGGCCCCCTTGTGGGGTCACCAGGCTGCGAGGAGCGGGATTCGCAGTTTCCTGTACCAGTTGTAGCTTGTAGTTTCCAGTGTTACAGTTCTGCTTCTTGCTGGTTACTGTAACTAGTTGATTGACCGCGCGAGGGGGGGGAGGCCCAAACCACATTTTTAGCACCCCCTGGGCGCGTTGTCTGAATTGCTGGGGGGGCTCGAAGTCGTCACCCCTCACGCAGATCCGCGGGGTCAGGGTCCAAAAACACAGCGGAGTTGCCACATTTCTGAAATTTGGTGTCACCCCTCACGCAGATCCGCGGGGTCAGGGTCCAAAAACACAAGGGATTTGCCACATTTCTGAAATTCGGTGCCACCCCTCACGCAGATCCGCGGGGTCAGGGTCCAAAAACACAACGGATTTGCCACATTTCTGAAATTCGGTGCCACCCCTCACGCAGATCCGCGGGGTCAGGGTCCAAAAACACATGGGATTTGCCACATTTCTGAAATTCGGTGCCACCCCTCACGCAGATCCGCGGGGTCAGGGTCCAAAAACACAAGGGATTTGCCACATTTTTGAAATTCGGTGCCACCCCTTACGCAGATCCGCGGGGTCAGGGTCCAAAAACACAGGGGATTTGCCACATTTCTGAAATTCGGTGCCACCCTTCACGCACATCCATCGCAAGGCGTGGTAACCCAAACTGCGAGAACTCCCTCGGCCCTTTAATCGCAAGGTGTGGTAACCAAGCCCGTAAACCATACACGTCTTACCAATGGCCAGGTGTGGTAACCCCTCTTGTGATCAGTTGGTTTTGCTGATTGCGAATCGGCTTCGCATGAAGTTTCGATACTGCTTCACGACAGCGCCAAGACCTCATGACTTAGCTTTTCCATGGCCCATTCTCCGAGAGAGGGGGCCGGCGGCAGGGGGCGAAGCCCTTACGGATTAGACCTCGCCATCCCTGGGGGGCTGCGATCTGTGAAACTGTCGCCATGTTCGAGGCCTGCTGGGGGGCTCAGCACAGTGAGGGCGACGCGCAGATTCAAATTAGACCTCGCCATCCCTGGGGGGGCTGCGATCTGTGAAACGGTCGCCATTTTCGAGGCCTGCTGGAGAGCCCAGGTCAGTGAGGGCGACGCGCAGATTCAAATTAGACCTCGCCATCCCTGGGGGCTGCGATCTGTGAAACTGTCGCCATTTTCAAACCCTGCTGGGGGGCCCAGCACAGTGAGGGCGACGCGCAAATTCAAATTAAACCTCGCCATCCCTGGGGGGGCTGCGATCTGTGAAACGGTCGCCATGTTCGAGGCCTGCTGGGGGGCTCAGCACAGTGAGGGCGACGCGCAGATTCAAATGAGACCTCGCCATCCCTGGGGGGCTGCGATCTGTGAAGCTGCCGCCATTTTCGAGGCCTGCTGGGGGGCCCAGCACAGTGAGGGCCACGGGCAGATTCAAACTAGACCTCGCCATCCCTGGGGGGCTGCGATCTGTGAAACGGTCGCCATGTTCGAGGCCTGCTGGGGGGCCCAGCACAGTGAGGGCGACGCGCGGATTCAAATTAGACCTCGCCGTCTCAGGGGGGCTGCGATCTGTGAAGCTGCCGCCATTTTCGAGGCCTGCTGGGGGCCCAACACAGTGAAGGCCACGGGCAGATTCAAATGAGACCTCGCCATCCCTGGGGGGGCTGCGGTATGTAAAACAGTCGCCATTTTCCAGGCCTGCTGGGGGGCCCAGCACAGT